CATCCTCATTTGCCCCACTGTTTGCCATTGGTGAACTGGAAGTCTGTCCTTGTGTCTTGCTTAAGTGTTTTCTCATTTTTATTTTTGTTGTTGCGCTGTCCTTGGTTTAATCTCTGGGTTTTCACCCAAATCTTCCTGATATAGTTGAGCCCTAGCTTCTGTGTCTCTAATGACCCACAGATATTCTCATCTTCATAACATCAGAGAAAACAGCTCATCAAATCAACCGCAATGCTTTATCCCAACTGATACAATCAGCAACACATTAAGATCAAGCACAACTTGGACACTGACCACCTGTGGTAGTCACTAGTCTATCACCCTTAAATCATTTGAATTAAATTGAAATCAAGAAGCAGTCCAGAACATGTCTGCAGTGAACAAAATTTCAATATAGTGTATTTACCATTTAATGGCTCAGACAGAGCGAGGATGCAAGACCCCTGGTCTCAGCTGATGGCTGAACCCCATGATGCTGACTGACCTCAGGCTGCAAGGCCCAGATTGAGTTCTCCAGCTTTCTGAATGGTTGAACTCCATACCGTTCTATTACAGGTTTCCCACGCCCTTTCTTTAAAGATGTTCAAAGTAGGAACTCAGAAAAATACCCTTAATGACCACCTCTGCCTTTGCAGAGTGGGTCCAAAGACGGGCACAGTCAGGAGGTCTGAGAGTGCGTGGGGATGGTGAGTGGCTTATGGGGGTTCCGGGGCACAGCTACCTTCCTGGCACTTGAGCAATGGTGGCTGGGGTGGGAGAAGGAGTGGCTCTCCTTCCCGCAGTGGATCAGGGCCCAGGCCACCTCCTTGCACTTGAGTGATCAATATGCTCTTATTTTGATAGCTCTACTATTTGAGGAAATATAATTTGTTCCCTGATGTATGTGTGTACGTCCATAAAGTTACAAGCCTTGTTACTAGGATTGTCTAGAGAGGACAATAAACAATATTAGGTTAAGAAAGATTCTGAAATGTATGATAAAATGAAGGCTCTGTGACTCATGTCTTTTCCTCCCAATTTATAGAAAGAACTGGGTAGTGGGAAGTCCACTAGATTGAAAGTTAAAGATTTGAATTTCAATTCTGTCTCAACTGATCACCATACCTTGGCTAAATCAGTTATACTTTCTGAGCTTCTGTTCCATTGTGGATGGTCCCAATTGTCTGTAACTTATTTTCTGTCTCTAATTCCATGGTCCACGACTGATTACCTTCTACACATAAAACGCTTGTACACCAGGGATTGAACTCAGATCTTTGTGCTTGCAAGGCAGGCAGCGGAAGCACTGAGCTAAATCCCTGGCCCATGGTTTCATATATTTTTAAATGGTGATAGCAATCATGAGAGTAAGGATAGGTTGGGATTTAAGGAAAGCACGTCAGGTAAAGTGCCTGAAGCCATTTTAATGACTGCCATTTGAACCAGACTTGCAGTCTGGGGGATTGAACTCAGATCTTTGTGCTTGCAAGGCAGGCAGCGGAAGCACTGAGCTAAATCCCTGGCCCATGGTTTCATATATTTTTAAATGGTGATAGCAATCATGAGAGTAAGGATAGGTTGGGATTTAAGGAAAGCACGTCAGGTAAAGTGCCTGAAGCCATTTTAATGACTGCCATTTGAACCAGACTTGCAGTCTGGAACATGACCCTGAAAAGTCCTGAATTACTATCCTTAAATAAATCAATTGACAGAAGAATATCACTAGATATCTATAAAATGTCCATTTCCTCTTCCTTCTTTTACTACAGAACACTGGCTTGATTTGGGATGAAATATGCTGAATTTCTGCTTTGGGCTGATGGATGTATTTACTTCATGGTAGCCAAAGAATAATCAGCAGGCGTCTGCTAAATAAGGATCCTGAAAGGCTATTGGTTTCATCATAAGAAGAAGTAAGCTTAGCCAGCACTCGCTTTATGCCCTTCTGCTGTCTTGGAATGTGGTCCTGAAGCCTGGAGATGTAGCAGAGGAGGACACAGAACAGCAGTGTAGAGAAGCAGTGTCTTTGGTGACTCTTAGGAGCAGGTGTGCTAGTCTCAGCCTGCTTTCACTTTTTGTTACTGGAAACCATAGCCCCCTAATTATAGATAAGTGTCTGTTACATGAAGCCTAATGCAATCCTGGCTAATAAAATATCCCCAAACAACTGCTTCCCACATCAGGTACACCATAGGATAAACTATCCCTCAAAAGAATGTATGGCCACCTGTGGCCCAACCAATATTCCATGACAGTGGAGAAGCCCCTGTTGTACTCACCCTCTCTGCTTTTGTTCCAAGTTAACAGTAAGAAGAGAATTCTGGGGCTGGAGATATAGCTCAATGGTTCTGCTGCCTGCCTTGCAAGCACAAGGACCCAAGTTCAATGCCCAGCACCAAAAAAAAAAAAAAAAAAAAAAAAAAAAAAGAAGAGAATTCTGGGATGTCCTAAATTAAGTTGCAGGCCAGAGACTGGAAAGAAGGAAGAGACAAGTGTTCATTTTAACTCATAGATTCAACAAATCAATGAAGAAAACAAAAACTGCCCCACGTTCCTTTTCTGTGCACTGAAGGCCACCCATCAAGGCCATCGTGGAGCCAACACTTAAACTAGGCAGCAGCAAAATCTTCTCTCCATGGACTCACTTCATATCCCAGAGCTTCACCTGCTTGGCCTTGTCCTGCCACTCTTACCCATAGCCAATATAGTTTCAGCGTAAACTTTATGTTTCTTCTTCCCAAAATTCCATTATGAACATCCTTGCCCCTTGGGTCTAGTGGACATTCCTCAGCTTCTTCCGGTCCTGCTGCTGGTGCCTTATGGGATTTGTGGCAGGATGGTCGTTTGACTTTTGGATAGCATCTGTAAGAGCTTGTAGCAGTTAGGGTAGAGTTTCAACTTGATGGGCTCTGGGGTCCCCCAAGGTGATTGGTGGCTCTCATTTCCAGGTATGTCAGGGTGGGTCATGCGGTGTGGCTCTGGGGTTTATGTCTGGTCTTCACCCCTTCCTCTCTAGCACTGTTTCCCTGCTGTGATGGTGTCCTGACTGCCATGAAGTAGACAGCTTTGCACCCCTGCCCCTCAGCCTTGATGTCTCTGCCTTGGGGCCAGCGGCTCATGGACTGAAACTGTAAGCACATCAAAGCTCCCCTCATTTAAGCAATAAAAAAGCTGGCTGATACAGAGCTCAACAGGTCCTTTATTTCAGAGAGCTCTTAGTCTCAAAAGTTTGATTAACACATTCTTTTCACAGAAAAGAGATTATTACTCTTAACAGTGACAATAAACAAAAATAGCAAGCATCTTCTATGGTTGTTAAAGGGCTTTTGATTAATTAGCTGACTTCAAGCAGCACTACTTAACTCAAGAACATTCAGCTGGAGAAAAGACGGTATTAATTTGAACTCTCTTGAATAGCCCTTTTAAGGGTTATATCTATTGTCCTATAAAACTCTCCTTAGGTGCTAAGAACGCAAACAAAATTATTGTTAATTTTTCAATTCATTTTATCGTAGCTAACATTTCATATTGAACTTGTTACATATTTTATGGCTATCCACTGTATTAGAATCTTATAAAATTATGCTTATATTACATTTTTTATAAAATTGAAGAATAATTTTACAGTTTCCAGTGATTATATAAGTTGCTTTTATGACGGCCAGCTGGTTGTATTTATTGTTTGTGTGATGCTGAATTCTTGGCCAGAATACTACTCTGTTGTAGTAATTTTCCCAGGAGAAGCACAGCTTCTATTTTATAGCAAAACGCTTCACAATGCCATTTCTAGAATCCATTTAAAGATAGGTGATCAAAATATTTTTCTCCTTCCAAGAAGGATTTGTCTCCATAAGTCCCTGCTGGACAGGATAAGCTGCCTTTTTGAAGCGCTCTCAACCAAGCCTTCCCTCAAAACATGAAAGTTTCTTTCTCAAGTCTGTAGTCTGTGCACCTCTTCACTAACCAACTCCCTGTACCTCCTGAGTACTCCTGCTTCCTCTGGCACCACAGCCCCTGTTTGCTAGGTCTTCTTCCTCCCTCTAAGCATGGCCATGCCCCTCCCATGCAGCCAGGGACTTCTCTTTCTGTTGGCACAGGCTATAGCTAGTTGGCTCCTCGGTCCCTCTGTAGCTTCCAGAAGAAATTCTGTTATTTATTTTTAAACTTTCTCAGTATCCAGGGGTCCCAGTGGCACAGCACCCAGCATCTCCTCCCTTACTTTCCTTCTTCCCCACCCCAGATTTACCTAGGAGCTTCTTATGGAATAACAAGCCAAACCCAACCTCTGTGGGCCCATGTTCCCCTCAGGCAGGAGAGGCCTTTCCTAATAAGGCGAAACTCTCTTTACTTTCTGAGAGGTAGGGAGACTCAGGCCCTACAACATGTTTAGACAAGTACTCTAACACTGACCTACATCCCCAGTCCCTCCAAGGAGGAGTCCTTTTTCCGGTTGCTAAGGGAATATTTTTTCCATCTGATATTTGTTCACATAGTTCCATGAATAACTAAAGAAAGCTCTGACTTCACAGAATCACTTTAAGAGCTCAGTCTTTAAACTTTGATTTTAGAAATGATGGTGGAGGAAGAGTACAAACAGGGGGTCTGGACCTTTCTTCAGCTTGTGATAGTCATGGAAACATCAGGATGACATGAGACCCTTGAGATCCAAACCACATTTGGTGTATTTTCCTCTGTGACAGTCATCTGGAGACAGAGGAGAAGCCCCTGCCTCTCCTCTCGTTTTTCCTATAATGGCTGTAGGGAAGGGATGGTTTGGCCAAGGTTTCTCACGACCTTCCTCTTTGCTTCCTTTCTCTCCCATTGAGTCCTTCTCTCCCAAGGATGGCCTGGGACAACTTGCCTTTGTGTCCTTCTGGGTTACATAGTGTCTATTCTCTGTGCCACTCCAAACAGAGGTGCAGCTTGGCTGTCAGCAATGGCACCCTTCCCAGCAACCATTGCTCCAGACACTGGCCCTTATTTGAAGAAGTGGTAAGGAAACTGCTCCTAATGTGGCAGAGATAAGGGAGATATCCGAGTCATTTTGCTTTCAATATACTTTGTATCAGCTATCTTTTCTACTTAAACACTTCAAAGTGAGAAGAGGCAGATGTGGGTGGATCAAGCACTTCTCTGGGTTCCTTTAAGTAAAAGTATCTCAAAGACTCAGAGAAGTCCAAGGTTCTTGGGGCTGAAGGAATAGCCAGGTTTGTACGCACATGTGAGCACAAGGTGTAAAATTTAGCTTAGCTACTGAAGTTAAAAAAAAAGATTGAAAAATTTTGTCAACTTGAGAAATGATTTCTTTTACAACAGAAATTTTCACTATTTTTAAAGAACAAGTCAGCCAGCTGAAGTTTGATTTGCTATACAAATTTTTTTTTTCTGTCAAGAATTATCCATTTCAATGAAAGCTATTCACAAATCTCCCTACCTCTTGAGAGGGTGCTGTCCCATGACAACATCCTGAGGAGATGGTGCCTTTCCAGGTCTCGATCAGTGCATTAGGCAAAGCCCCGCTGCTTTCTAATATTGAAGACTCTTGATAGGTTGTACACAAAGGCACGCAGGTGTGAGTGTATCTGTGTGTTTTCATGTGCTCACACGTGTAGTGTATGTTATAACAGAAGAATAAAATATGAGGGAAGAATGTTGGCTTTTGCTTCTCAGGTCACCTCCTGTCACTCTGAATGGTTCTGCTGAATTCCTATCCTCATCTTGCCCCTACAGCTATTACTCTTGCTCTTATCATTTCACACTTGTGGGGACCACCCCCTTACCATTCTCTAAGCTATTAAAGTTAGACAATTGTATATTTTAAGCTTTTGCTGAATCTGGGATAATGAAGGAGGACTACAGTGTAGACCAGTTGGGGAAAGTTAGGGAAAGGCCTTGGTGTTCTCAGAATCCTTCTGCAAGCTGTCGAGTATGGGCGATTTACATTCTTGTCTTTCCATTTAAGGTCACACTGGCTGCTGGGCTGCTAGGACCTGTTTTCCTTCTCTATTCCAGTCTTTTGACCATCTATCTTCTTCTCAGAGTCTTTCGGTTTCCTGTACCTTCCTCATTCAGCAAAGACTTAAAAACTCTCTAACTCTTTACAGAGAAAGGGGCTGAGGGAAAACAACCTGAATGGAAGTTAGGGCTGAGGGACTTCTCTCAGACTTAGAAGCACACCTCTCATTTAGATTGTGTGTTATCGAGGAGTCGGGCTGGGGTCTTTGGGTAAAGGGAAGAGCTAATGTCACTGCCACTGATACAACCACTTCTCATCACTAAAATCGACCCTGTGTGCCTAACCTACAGAACATGTTGGCTACCCACAAACCCCTCTCCTTCCAGAATATGCATTGCAGAGCTCACCTTGTATCACCAACAGCCCCCTCCACGTGGGTCTCAAACAGAACAGCAGCCTTATGTCTCCCACCTTCCAGAAAGTGAAAGCAACTGCAAGCAATTCCTGTTCAAGGTAAATGCTCCTTTTCTGTAAAGCTTGCAGAATATAAATTATTAGAGCAGACATTTCCTCATTTAATGACTGAGTTCCAATCCTGAGACTAAGTCATTAAATGAATTTGTTGCTAAATGAGGACGTGTACCTAGTACATCCGTTACAATATTCATAACAAGGAAATGGTCAAAGGAAACTCCAACTTGATGACTGCTTTTATTTGCATGACTCTTGCATGCACTACTGTAATGTATAACAGAACATGAAACTACAGTACCATGCTCTACTCTACAGTACCATCAGCAAAAACTATACTACAGTTCTATATAAACAAGGTATACTGTAAAGAAAAAAGACATGGAGGCTCTAACAATGTGTACAGAACTGTACCATACAAAGATGGGTTATAAGTCCAAACAGTATATTTCTGTTGTAAGTCCAAACAGTCATTAAACAAGGAATATCTGTATACAAAGAGTGTTTATACTTCACTCTATTTTTAGGACATGGTCAAGTTTTACTGTGGGCGGGGGGACAATATCCAAACATTGAATTTAGTCGACCTGTAGCTCATCTCTGTCATCTGTAATCCAGAAACCTGAGGGCCAAATCAGTCCTGGGTCAGGTCCAAGCTCACAGGCAGGACCCTCAGTGGGAAGCTGGGACTATTGTGACCTCAGGACAGGAGCAGGTGGTCTGGTAATAGCTCTATGGGGACATGACATAATTTAGGCTACAAACCTTGTCAAGCATAACAAGTGGCTCAGAGTTCTTGTAAACATGACGGGGGCTTAAACTCTTAAAAGCTATGACTAGACATGCAAAAATATGTACATGCATATTAGCAGTACTGGTAAAACTTACCTACCAATAAGGAAATTTGTGCTGTATTGTCAAAAGAGACAGTTTCTGTGATAGTTAACTATGTGTCAGCCTGAGTGAGAAATGCCCAGCTGACTGGCTGAGCATAGTTATGGGTGTGACTAAATGGATTTCCTGAAGACAGAAGAGCCATCTTGGATGTCAGTGGCACCAACCAACAGGCTTGTGGCCTGAATAAAATGGAACAGGGAAAGAAGGAGGGTTCAATTCTGTTTCCTCACAGAAGGTCCAGTCTTTGCCTTGGCCTCAGTGTCCATCTCATGGCTTCCTGTGTAGGCTCTTTGGTCTTCCGTCACGGACACTTCGGCCTCCTGATACAGACTCTCCTGGGGCTCTACAAGGACCTCCAGGCCTTTGACCTTTGACTGGATCCTTCAGAGCTCCAGCGTGCAGACAGCCCTTTTGTACTCTTCCACACTTGACCTTAGGAGGCCATTGTCAGCCTCCCTTGTAAATCCATGTATATTTATATATCTTCCATTAAAGATGTTTCTCTAGTGAGCACTGACTGACGGTGCTTCCTCTAGTGTCATTCAGATCATGACTCAAATCATTATTGAGAAAATATGAGGAAGTCTTATAGGTTCTGAAATCTGATTCAGACCTCACTTGAATCTGTTTTCCCCCATGGAAGAATCAGCTATATCTGTCTAACATCGTTAAAATACTTGGTGACTTCTAGCCCTTAGGACACTGTTCTCTGCCCCTTAGGCATTTCAATGTTTTCTTCTAATTATAAAAATAATATATATCTTTAGTGTGGAAATTCTAGAAAATTCAGAAAAGCATAAAGAAAAGAAAAATACCACCTATAATTCTACCACCAAAGGTAATCACAGATCACATTTTGGTTTAAGCATGCTATTGCCCTAAGACATTTTATACATATAATTGTGCAAGGAAATGGATTAGGTGGCTGATGGGACCAGAGGCGGAAGAGTCCACAGTGGTGGTCTGTGCCCTGCAGAGCTAGAGGATCTGGTATCTGCTCAGTCCAAGAAGCTGGAAGCCAGAGAACAAGAGTGATCAGGGATGTATGTAGCCTCAGTCCGAGGCTGAAGTCCTGGAAGCTCCTGGGAGAGTTGCTGGTGTCACTGCACTAAAAGGTTGAAGACAATGGAGTCTGATGTCCACAGGCAATGGCAGCAGAAGATGCAGCTGTGCAAGCAGAATGGGGCTCTTCAAAACACGGGCCAACTTCCTCCTTCTTTTCCTCTTATTCCATCCAGGCTACCAGCCTACTGGAGGGTGCTCCTCACAGCCAGTGAGTCTTTTTCAGCTTGCTGGCCTACATGTCAGTCATTGCTGGAAACCCAGACACACCCAGGATGGTGCTGCATAATCTGGTCAAGTTAACTGTCACACTTACTGGTCATGTACTTGTTTACAGCATATTTATGCTTTTTTATACTGAGGTGATAGGCTGAATATGTTTTTGTGTCCTACTTCTTAAAACATCAGAACAAAAGTATATCCCTGTGTGAGTCAATACTCTTCAGAAATTGCTTTTAGAGATATTAATGTAAAAACATGGTTTCTAAGCTACATGCAGTGCTGAGTATCTACATCCCCAACTGCTTGAGCAGCTGAGGCAGGAGGATCACCTGAGCCCAGGAAATCAAGGCCAGCCTGAGCAACAGAGCAAGACTCTACATCTTGTAAATGGAAAAAGGAAGGAAGAAAGAAAGATATCTCCTTCAAGAGTACACACTAGGCAAACTCCACTTGCTGAAAGCTTCTCCCATTTGTGATGGCCTTGAGGAGATCACTCAGGTCAAGTCCTTAACATGGCTTCATGATTTACCCCGATCACTTCTTCAGCTTCTTCTCTCTTCATTGTTCCATCCAGGCTCAAGCTCTAAGTGCCGCAGACCCCAGAATAAATCTCTGGAATGAGTCCATTGGTCACCTAACCAGTCTGTCTGTCTGCTCTCCCTGTTTCACTCCCTTCTTGATGACTCAGACTTGAATGATCTCCTTCTGAGAGCTCTCTCGTTTCAGCTGCCTCATCCCAACTCATCTTTTGGAGCTAATTTAGACTCTCCTCACAGGGCTTTCTTGACCCTCCATGACAAGGCCAAGGGTCCCTTTCCTGAGACCCCACAGCATTCCCACTCCCTTCTTCAAAGCATTTATCGTGGTATCAGTCTTAACCTGTTTTCTTGCCTGCTTCCGTGAAAGGACTGAGACTTCTGTCAGGACAGAGGCCATCTCCATCTATCTGTCATTTTTACAAAATTGCATCTCCAGCACTGTAACAGTATTTTGCACATATTTTACATTTATTTGTATTATTTTTTATTATCTTGTCTTGTACGTTATGTATTTCCACAGAGGAGCCTTTAGCTGGGGATTCAGCTCAGTGGTGCCGCTGCCTGCCTCGCAAGTGAAAGATCCCAAGTTCAATCCCCAGTACTAAAATAAAAATTTTTTAAGAAAGGAGACTTTAATGTTTTATTTGCTGCTGTATCTAATCCTAGTGGTTACAATTTTGTTAATGTCTTAAAGTTTATCATTCCACTCCATATTTTGTTTGTGCCTGAATATAAGGTGTGACAAAAATATGGTATTTAAATTTTAAAAGTATTACAGTAAAAGACACACACTGCCATTAATCCCCACCAAAATAACCCTCCTCCCTTCGAACACGCTTATTCCACCATTCTTACCACTTTCTGAAGCAGTCCTGGAAGTCTCTTTTCATGAACACCTTCAGTTGCACTGTCCTGGCTGCCTCGATGTCCTGAATCAATTCAAAACATTTACCTTTTACGGTCATTTTGACCTTCAGGGAAGAACCAGAAGAAGTGTGGTGCCAGAGCTGGTGAACGAGATGGATGAGGATGAACTTTAGTGTTTTATGAGCCTGCCTTTCGGTTGGATGGCACTCACCAGAAGCACCCATCGTACTTCTTTTCACAGTTCATAAAGACACTTACAAAAGGACTTCCCAAACTACTTCAGAAAGTGGCAAGGGCGGTAGGATATTTTTAAAATTTAAACATTCATTGTATAATTTGATCACACCTATTTCCTGTTGTAAACCAGATGCCTGGGATTACTATAGTTACTACATCGCAACTATTTAGTACCAATTCCCCGCGTCAAATGTACTACAAGCATGAACTAATAAAAATTTAAAATTGTTTAAAAAAGAAACGTCTTTCTATTTGGCTCACTTACACATGTAGAGCAGAAGGTGGCGCAAGAGAGCGCTTTCTTATCCTGGTCCAGGCATCCTCCACCGGCCCACAAACCAAGGAATGGAAGTAGCTCTGCCTTGACCTCCTTTCTTTCTGGCTTCTACCTTTATGCTCCTCTACTTCTCCCCCATCCACTCAGACCTCTGCCTCAGATTATAGAAGATGTTCGATTTCTTCTAGTTGGTCCAGTAATGGAGTTGGGGAAGGGATCAAGAAAAGTGGCTGTCCCTGTCATAATAACTGTCCTGCCCTGAATCAGTGCAAGCCTGAGCCTCAGAGAGGAGCAACTTGGAGCATCTTCCCCATCGTGTGCCTAGCCACGCAATACTTAGAGTCGTCACTCGTTTGGGAAATGGTACAGTATTTCATTCAACCCTCAAACATTGAATGAGTTTCTTTTCTCATCTAATCTAAATTCAGCGAAGAAATATCATTTAGCTACAATTTTGCCAAATTAATTGTTTCAGCATCAGGAATAATAATTTATCTTACAAGGCAGCTGGTGGTATCTCATTGTTGTGATAATGTATATTTTCCTAAAATATATATTTTAGATGCTAGATAGGCAAAAAGTGATATTTCACTGTTGTCTTACTTTGCATTTACCTAAAGTATACGCAAGTTAATAATAATATTAATAATTTCAAAGTACATTTTTCTGTTTTGTAAAACAATATATTTTTTGGGACTTTTGTCTAACAATTCTGAGATCATGTGAGACTAAAAAGTCATTATTGTTTCTAATTATATCTCAGAACCATACACTACAGTTGGAATTGAAAAGAAATAGTGATCATCTAGATACCACCATAGCTTCATAGAATAAAAATAATTAAGATCCACTAGGGGAAAGATACACCCAATGGCAGTCATGATAGCTGAATCAGATAAAAATGTCATTAACTTATAGCTGCAAAACTTCTGGGTATTTCCGTTTAAGCAATATTTTTTAGCACAAAGGAGACATGAGTTAAAAAAAGCATGGTGGGGCTGGGGATGTCGCTCAGTGGTACCATGCCTGCCTGGCAAGCATGAGGTCCTGAGTTCAATCCCTGGTACCAAAAACACACACAAAAAACAAAACACCAGTGAATATATGTGTATTTTAAATTTATTACCATAATTAACATTGCCACTTTCTGTCTCACAGCAGCTCCCCTACCTTTGAACACACTGTCCTATTGTTCTTGTCACTTTTTGAAGCAGTTCAAGAAGTTATTGGGCTGGAGATTTAGCTCAGTGGTTCCAGAGGCTGCTTCACAAACGCAAGGACCTGAGTTTGATCCCCAGTACCAAAAAAAAAAAAAAAAAAAGTTATCTTTTGTGGCCTTAGTTGTGTGCTATGGCTGTCTTGAAGGCCTGACTCAGTTGAAACTGTTCTTTTCATGGCAGTTTTGACTTTTGGAAGAGCCAGAGTTGCATAGGGTCAGATCCAGTGGATAAGGTAGACAGGGATAGAAATTACTGTACCAGAAGCAATGTGTGACACAGCATTGTCATGATGGAGGATGAAACCATTTGCCCATTTCTCAGGCCATTTACATTGGTTCTTAAACTCTCTCATAAGCCCTTTGAGTATTCAGAATTCCCTAGAGTATTCTTGGATACAAACTCAGTTTGCACAATTCCATCAAGGTCAAAAAACATAATCAACATCAGTTTGATGTTGGAGCTTGACTGACATGCGCCTTTTTTTTTTTCTTTCTTTTCTTTCTTTCTTTCTTTTCTTTTTTTTTTTTTTTTTTTTTTAAAAGAAAGTTGGGTTTTTTTTTTTTTTTTTTTTTTTTTTTTTTTTTTTTTTTTTTTTTTGCAAAAGAAGAGTTGGGTGATTTCCATTGAAACCCTGAAACTTGGTATCAAGAGCATAATCATAGACCCAAGTTTCATCTTGCATGATGACATTTCTTAAAAAGCTGGAACTAGAAGTGGTGAGATTGTGCAAATCCAGTGAAATGCATTGTTTGAGATCCATGATTTATAGCACACTGTAAAACATACCTTCTCACGTACAACCATAGCTTATAACCAACTGACTGCACCAAACAAACTGAAACTGCTCACATACCTTAATTAAGATTTGAGGCACTGCTTCTTGTATTGAAGATCTTCTCCTTTCTTTGGATGTCACATGGCAACAGCCCTCACTGTTTTTGTTTTTATTTTTGTCTTTGGTACCAGGGTTCAAACACAGGACCTCATATATGCAAGGCAGGCAGCAGCACCACTGAGCTAAATCCCAAACCGCTTTCACTGTATTTTTTGAACATATGACATACTTAGTAAAAGTTTGCTCAACGGGTGATGCAAGAAAAAAATAGATAGGGCTGGCTTCCTTCAAGGAGTTTATATATTAGAGTGAAGGATTGATATTAACCATCAATGGTACCAAGCAGAAATGTATAGAATAAAGTTGAATGAATAATGACACATTCAAATTTATAGAAGCTTACCAACATATAATGGGGAGGGAAGTAAGAAAAACTGCAGCGGGGATGCTTTTACATTCTGGTGAAAAATTTTAAAACCCACAGTCGACCATAGTTATACATCCTTCCCACTGCTCTGAGTCTGGTTGTATAATAGGAGTTTCAGAGGACTACAGTGCAGTTTAGATACCTCCCTCCTTGCAGCCTTCATAACAGAGTAGAGCCTCCACTGTCACTTGTTTGGGAAAGAATATTCAAACAACAAACACTCAACAAAGTTTATTCTTAATCAAGTGCTATGAATGAGCCATCAAGAGTTATGATCTCCCTATTGGAACCATTGTCCTGGGAGTTGTAGGTTCCAGAAAAGTTATAGACGGGGGACAGACAGAGGTCAGATGCCAGAGAGACCAGGACAAGAGGCCAAAGCCTCACCCAGGGGCACAGCACCGGCCCAGAGAGAGGTCAGACAGCTGTCACTATGAGCAGGGATGGAAAACTGGGCAAGGGCAAGCCTTGGGAACAAGTGTGCAATCAGAAGTGTCAGGGGCGGGAGGGAGGGAGGAGCAGGAGACTAGGAGACTCGGCAGGAAAAGTGTTTTGTTGTGAGTAGACGTTGTTCAGGGTTCACCGACCAGCTTCAAGGCGTTTCCTTCAAGGCATTGCTAACTTTAAGGACTGTGTGATCTGACCAGTGTCTAACCATAGAGGTGAGCACAAAGTGGTGTGTGTGTGAGACGGTCAATTAGGAGTTCTGAGGCTTCAAAGAGGAGATAGCAGAGTGTGGTATGGTCTTGAAGGGTAGAAGATGGAAGAGGCGGCGTAGGCTGAATGGTATGGGAACCAGTATGGAACATTGGTAGTGTAAGGTCCGACTCGACGCACCTTCCCCCAATGACCAGCCGAGACCGTACGGATGCAAGATGCAGAGGTTTTATTGCGTGGGCCACGGGCGTCTCTAATGTCCGAAGACAAGAGAAGCGCCCCGCCAAGGATGATCTTGCTTATATATAGTTTGAAGAGTGGGAAAGCGGGCTTTACAGAAGCAGATTTGCGGATTGGTTAATTCATGAGGCTATTTGCGGATTGGTTAATTCATACGAGGCCATGAATACAGGGGAGGGGTTTAACAGGGGAATTTTGGCGCCGAAAAGTCCCTGATCCGTTAAGAGGACTAAACAAAGAGTCAGGGAATTCACAGAACAAGACTGCAAACACATTGCTTATCTTATGCAGGAAATGTTCTAGGGTCACCTTTTGTCAAACCATTTGCCCCTGGGCGGGCTGTTAACCAAGGTAGCAATTAGCATATGAAGAACAGTCTGGCCTATTAGCATGGAGTCACTTTAGCCTATTCATGTCTTACAATAGGAACAAGCAGCACTCGCTGAGTACTTTCTTTGGGAAAAGCACAGTGTGATACATGTTCAGTCATGTTTAAGCCACACAATGACTTTAGGGAAAACATTTAATGGTTAGCCTCACTTCCCAGATTAAGAAACTGAACTATATGTAACTTATTCAAGGTTTCACACTGCAGTGTGAGTCCTAACTCCAGAGTTGTATCATGAACTACTAAATAAACTCCATGGACACGATTATGAAGAGGCTTTTTCAAACTAAGAGGTCTGGACTTTCTCTTATAGGCAGCAGTGATGCACACTGATAGGTATGGCTTACTGTCCCCAGCATGAACTTTAGACTCGTTGGATTTCAGACTCCTTGGATGTGACAGTTT